TGTTGGTTCAAACAACGAATAACATGACATTTACCTGCCATCATGCTGTAAAGCTCGGTATTCTGAAAATGCTCCACTACTTTTCCTTTCTTGAAAGCGGGACCGTGAGCCACAAAAAGAGTCTGAAATATAAACAGACAGGTGGTTTTGCATATACGAAACCAATCAATTTACATGGAACATTGTTTCAACACAACCTCGCACGAAGGCCCACTTCAATCCAGTATGCTTCGCGGCCACTTGCTTATTGCTGTACAGTGAGGCCGGACTTGAATTATAACCAATAACCAACAATTTTGAATATTTAGGCCTGCGCTAGTGATTTTGCCAAAGGTCTACTTTTGATGTATGAATCAAAAACTGAATCTCGAAACGCAATGACTGCCATCCAGGATTTGCCAAAAAAAAAAATGAGCCTTTAAGAGCTACAGTTTAACAAGCCTTATTTTGACCGATATGTCTAAAAAGAAACTGAAAAAACAAACGAATCTAGAATTACCTGAAAAAGCAAGGAAAATAAATTCAGACATGACAAGAAACAGCTCAAAGCTAATTTGCATAAAATTTGAAAACAACAGAACGTTTTACCATGACGTCACGGCGGTTATATTGGTGTTCGCAAACAAAAGAATTTGTCTGTTTTAGGAAATGAATTCTTTTCTTATGCAAACTTTTCCTGCCCTTTCAGGGCACAAATATGGCCACCATGAAAACGCTAAAAAAAAAGTTGCTTTTCAGCAATTTACCGAAACACCCTTGAATAACGGCCCTGCAGGGCCCGTTTCTCGAAAGCCCCGGAAACTTTTCGGGCCCGTGAAGTCACTTTTAGTTCATCTGTATCTAAAAACGGGAAGGCGTATACGCCTGAAACTTCTAGTATGAAGGGAACCTCTGTTCATATTAAGAATACGCAAATAAAACAGCTCTGTAATCGTAAGCTTGAGATTTTGCTATGGCTTTCCGGGTGCGAAACATTTTCGGGACCTTCGAGAAACGGGCCCCTGCCCCGGTTGACTTGATACCTCAGTTGGTAGAGCAGTGCACCGGTTCAAATCCTGTTCGAAGCTGAATTTTTGTTTTCAAGCCTTATTTTCTTAACTGTATAGATTGGCTGTATAACTGCGATGATCTGCTATTCAGATCAGTTTTGTTGTCATTACATTGATTTTAATATTTGGAAAATATATGTGTAGTCAGTGCTGCAAACGGGAACAAAAGCAGGAAGAACTTCCACAATAACAAAGATTGCCATTTATATCAAGCTCACCGCGGAAAGCGGCAGTATATCAACACAAACAAAATTCACAACTTGTAAGCTAGTTAAGTGAATCAAGTAAAGTTTTTTTTAAAGTTTTCTTACCCGCATGTTAACATCCAAGTTGTCATAACCGTGATCTCCTCCATTGCAATGTCTGATTCCAGAAGTGGAACTAAAACAACGGAGAATAAAGTACACGAGGCACAAAGAAGCTAAGTGAAGTGAATTAATTACCAGTAGTTTTTAAGGCCAACTCCAGCTGTCCAGATGAAAGGCTTCTGTTTTGTAATAATATCAAATATATCATTTAGACAGGCAAATCTTCGGAAACAAATCAGACAAATCTTCGTTGACACACCCGTAAATTTTCCAATAATGAACAACCAATTAACGAATAGTACGAGGACTCGAGAATACTCCGAGAGTTATTACGCCGCCATGTCTGTATCAGTTGCTCAGCAAGAGCGCGACGAAAAATTGTGGCCCGGACCTGTCTCGGAACTACTCTGTCCATCTAGTCTAACTAGTGTGCAATTGTTAACTGTTAATCATTTGCTATGATGGCCGTCATTGGAAAATCTTTCAGATAATGTCACAAACATTTCCAATATTTTAACGTTGCTTCAGGAAAATATAGAACTTTTTCAAATATCACAAAAAGAAACGATAGTTCGCCGAATTCGAAAGTAGCAAAAAAGATACTCGAATTAAGTTCTCTGAATACATTTTGCGAGAGTTTTCTAAAAACAACATTGGCTTGTTCATCAGTAATGTTACCACTATCTCATTATCACTGGACATTTATTTCATTTCAAGAAAGCTCTAATTCAGGGAAATGTACTGTACTCACTTTATTCCTAGGAGCCAACCATCCTCTGGAATTGCGATGATTCGTCCGATTCTCCTGCAAGATAATTTGTGAGGTCAGCAAC